GCCTGCAGTTGGTCTGCAAAGACGCCAAAAACAATCACGGTCGGATACATCCAAAACTGCCTGTACCCTTTAAATCAGCTGGCAAACCTGAGTCTTACTGGTCCAGTACCTGTTCAAGGGACCTTGCCCAAGCAAAAGGGGTTTGAAGGAACGACCTCAAGGAATGCAGGGCCCTTCCCCAGGTTGACACTAAATGGGCCCCAGTTTAACAACAAAGGAAAAGCGGTCTCTCAAGTCCAGAGCCTCAGAGCACGTTTTTCTGGATTTATATGGCTGGTTGTGAAAGGAACATGCCAGGAAAAACCACGTGTTTTTCCCCCTTTTTCTGGGGGGGGGGTCGCCCCCTTTTTTGGTTGGTTTTGAGAGAAAAGAAATTGCCAACGATTTTCTTTTTTTTGGCGCCGGCTGTTTTTTTGGGGTTTGGGGGTGGGGGGTCCACGAAAAAAGGCGCGCCCTTTCTTGCTCCGCCATGGGGCCGGCACCGCCGGTTTCGCGGTTTCGCGCTTTCGAAAGCGGCACGCCTTCGATTCGCAGCTCGCGTCACCCTGGCCGCCAAAGCCCGGAGTCGATGCAGCGCTGGAAGTGGCCTTCGAACTCCTGGACGCGGGAAATGTTCGGTCGACGAACCTGCTCACCTTTGTCTCTCGACCTCCTCCTTTGTCTCTTTTTGTATTGTGTGGGGGGGGGGCCTTCTTTTGAATTTTGTGTGTGGGGGGTTAAATTGTGTGTGGTTGTTCTTTGGGCTGGGAGCCTTCGTTTTGAACTCCTTGGCTCGAAGGGAAGCCAAAAGAACGTCGGGCCCGCAAGTGAAGGATTCCCACTCGATGAAAATCAACCACTTAATCAATCCGGGTTTCCACTATGGGACTCGAACCAAATTCAGCCATGATCACAAGAGAACAATGTTGTTCATTCTTTCACCCCTTAGGCTCCTCCTCCGGCATCTCTTCTGCAACCTGCTTCAGCAACTCGATGTCGCCTGGATCGGAAGACGAAGCTCACTGGTCCATCGGATGGCTTCCAAAATGCCAACCTCAAGGGCAAGAGCCCTTTTCACGGGTGGCTTGGGTCACTTCAGTTGGAAGATTGTGTGCCCCACTCCTTCTCGAGCAATTTCGAGGAACCCCAAATCAAACTCTGCCACTTCGGACCTAAGGACACGAGCTTGGAACAAGGAGCTCCTCTTTTCCGGCCAGTGCATGGAAACCGCAACCCATTTCATGTGCGACCCGGTTGCCTCGTTTTTGTGACAACTAGAGAACCACACGTCCATTGAAACTGGTGGTGTCCATTGAAACTGCCACGTTTGGAGGTTCCAAGAAACAAACATGGAGGACACCCTGAACCCACTTCCTGCTCCGATGGAGAAATATAGATGGATCCCTCGCCCTTCTGCCATGCGTTGGACTTGCCAAAACATGCTTCTTTGTTGGAAGTTGGGCCCTGACCGAGTTGAATGGCCGAAGACAAGCTCAAACTTTTTGGGCTTGGCTCAAAGGATGAAGAAACCCTGCCCTATCAGAAAGGACCCTTCATTGCAGGAACCTTCAAAATGGGCCCTTCTGAGGGCCGAAGATGCGGGCAGTCGTACAGGTCTCCCCCTTTGGCCGGTGAGAAAACCTGTTTCCCTTGGCTTGGACCGTCTGAGCCAACCGAAGCCAACCGCAGCCTTCCCCCGACGCATCCATCAGGCGCCTTCCTGGAAGCAGCGCTGCAGCTTCTCCGGCAGACTCGCCAAGACCTCCACCGGGTCCAGGCCCCCCGCGCCACGCCGCGCCTCCTCTCGGCGCTCTCTCTCCACGCCGAAGAGGCGACGGCTTCGTTCTGAACGACGCGGGAGCCACCAAGGTTCCCATTCTGCGGATGGACGAAATTCTGCGACCACCTAAGAAACCCAACGGAATGGCATGATTCCCCAACGTAAATACCAACAAATGTACCAAATTTTCAAGGTGGTGCGGATTTTCGTCCATCCACAGTATGATGATTACTCTAAACCCAGCGATGGGTTCATGTTGGTTGTCTAAAAGGGGCACCCCTGTAGCTCTGGGAGCCCCGGGCTTCAGTCTCAAATCAACAAATCGCAGCCCCCTATGGATGGCGCGCGCACTGCCGGGATTCAACCTACCCGTGTGAAGAGTCGCGGATTCCTCTTGGGTGCTGTAGATTTCCCAGCAAAAAGTCTAACTTTTGGCTGGCTACCAGGAAATATGATGGGGATCCAAACAATTAAACATGGATCCTTACATTATACACCTGAACATTGCTTTGTCAATGGGGGTTTCCCTTTATTTTGGTGTTGAAAAAGCCATGTTTCAAATGGTTGCAAACCGTATCTTTCTTCAGGAGCCCTGTTAAAGCCTCAAGACTCAAGATCCAACCCAGCGGTAGAGCTTGCTGCCATGGAAAAGCGAGGAACACCAAACGGTCAAAGGGCGTTTCTGTGTGCGTTTGTGTGTCGTTTTCTTGGAGGGCACCCTTGCTTTCATGTGGGTTCCCGGAGGGAGCGGAGTCCTTGTCCATGGAGTACATGGCCTCCACCAGCGGCTTCGCCTCATAGCCCTCCGGCGGCGTCGGCTTCGCGGCGGGCGCCTACGGGAGGCGAGCGGCCCTTGGGACCCCTGGATCAAACTCAGGAAAGGCCTCGTAACGGGTTCGTCAAAAGGTCAACCCCCGTATGGAGACTTAGGGTCTATTTTGCAACCTGATTCTGTTAGCGAATTTCTTTTTGGAGGGCACCCTTCTTGGGATGGCTTTAAGGGAAACCAACCGGAAAACCACCCAATTTGGTGGTCCGACACACCCAATTGCGGTCCTCCTCCTCCTTCTTCTTCTCAACGGCTCTCTTGATCAGGTTCTCCTGAAAATGCCGCACCTGGCCGACAACGCCGATCGCGTCTTGAGCCCTGTGCCAATGGTTCCCCCCACCCCCCGCCGCCCCGCCAAGAAACATCCCACATGGGTGTGTCTTTCTTTTAACGGACCCCACAAAATGGATTCCGTTATGCCTGCTTGTTCTCTCTCAAAACGGCAAAATCGCGTGTAAATTAAAAAAGGGAAAACAAAAGAATCAAACAAAAGGGAAGGAAACAAAAAAAACGACCTAGACCGGAAGCCTCTCCAAAACCAACCTGGATCACTAGAGCATTTTGGAATAGCAAGCAGGGGTTGCGGAAAATTCGGTCCCCTGAGGTCCCCGAAGCGGCGCAAAGCCGTCGGTCCGAAACAAAGGAACACAGTCCCTTAGCTTGTACTTGAAGGGGCAGGGTACTTGGTAAGTGGTTAGTAAGCCAGGTTATAACGCACATAGGGGACTTGTAACCATGGCAAGTGGGTTATAACCTGACTTACTAACCACTTACTAAGTACAATGCCCCTTTAAGTAGGACAACTGCCCCAGTTCCTGACTTCGACAAGCCCCCGGTAAAAAAGAAAGTGACCCCAAACGCCAAGAGAACAATGCCTGGGATTGCCTGGGATGGTCCCAAAGCCGGCGACGGGCTGCGCAGCATGTCTTTTTTGGAGTTGGTACTCTTTTTGCCTTGGCCTTAAAAGGAAAAAACAGACCCCTAAAAGTTCCCTTCAAAGAAAACTCCCTAAAAAATCCCTTCAAAGTAGGTTACTGCAACCCACAAAGTGAATTCCCTTGCTTCCCGCTCTTGTTTTTGGTCCAGGAATCATCGTCTCAGCTTAAAGCGGAAGGAGCCGTGCCGACTCCGCTGCTGGGCGCCGGCGTCACTGAGGCGCCGGCCCCCTCTTCAAACACCGCGACCGACTCCTCATGCTCCTCGCCCGTCCGCCCGTCGAAGGATTCAGGACTTAACGACAGGCCCCGAACCACCCGTTCCATGCGTCAAAGGCAGTGTAAGCTTTTGCTTGTGTTGGCTCTTGTGCTTGCATCTGTTCACTTGATTTGTTTATTGCTGGTGTTTTGTTGTTGTTTTTTGGGGGGGGCCCCCCCCCAATACCCAGAACTCAGTTCACTGCTTGCTTGCACCCCGATGTTCGAATCCCAGTCTCTGGGTCCACAGCCGTTCCCTCAAGCGACTCAACGTGCGCTGGTTGTGTCGTTCGAGGGGGGGACCCCTGGGGCTAAGGGAAAACCCGGAGAGCCCAAAGAAATCATGCTAAGGTTTCAAGGGCTGGGGGTGTAAAGGGACATTTGGCTGTGGCGAATTCAAAAAAAACGTACCCAAAATGGCCCCATTTGCTAAGTGGAGGTAAATGGAAACAAAGACCAACACCTGCGTAACCCCAGCTCTGAAATTTCGAGCCACACCCATTTTGGTGGAGAACCCAAACAAATCATGTTTCAAAGGTTTCAGAACTAAAGGATACATTGAATCATCTGACAGTGGTGATTTGCGCGGCCGTATCCTCAAAGCAACCGAAAGGCGAAGCACTGCTTTGTACACTTTACTCTGCTTGGGGAGCACCCCAAGGAGAGGAATGCCAGAAATTGAAGCGAAAACTGTGGAACCGAACCGTGTGCGAACCGAACCGTGTAGCACCGAACCATGTAGGACGCGAACCGTGTAAGAACCGAACCGTTTACGATGTGAAAGTCCTGGCATCCTTGAGAAGGCCCTGTTGAACCTCAAAAGATATATATATATATACCCCAGCGAAGGATTCGCGAAGCTTCGCTCTTGTTCAAACCAACGCATGCAACCCCGAAGCCTGTCGTGAATGGTGCATTCTACTTCGGAAACTTCCAAAATTGGGCAAAACCCCCCAGCCTCGCAGTGACCATGCGAAACCCCCCGCCCCCCCCTCCAAAGAAGTGGAAAGGATATGCGCCATTGGGGGTCCGGGTAACCACTGGCCAAGTCATTTTTGAGGGCGCCAAGAAGGGCGCCTAGAGGAACACAAATGGGTCTGTCTCAAAGGGAGGGGGATCATTTTCGAACACCGATTTTGGATCATTTTCGAACACCGATGTCCTGGATCATTTTCGAACACAGAGTGGGTCATTTTCGAACACATGGGGGGGCTATCCTGCGGCACCCGTGGGGGGGGGGGGTGGGGTGGGGCAGTTGCGTTCGCCTCTTACTGCGTGCCCGTGCAACTGGGGGAAGGGGGCAACCAGGAGGCTCCGAGTCCCAAGTTACCTTGGCTTTTTGAGCTAAGATGTCCTCGGCGACTTGCGCTGGTTGGCCCCCGTGAAGCCGTGAAAGCTCGGTCTAACGGCCGTAATAACTCGCGCGGGAAACTGAAAGGCCGCTACTACTCCGTGAAAAAGCCGTGAAAACTCGTGAAATTTCAAGCTCTGAGTCATCTTGTCCTCGCGACACAAAAAACCTCCTTAGCTCATACGGCCTAAGTAACTTGCGAATCGGAGCCTCCTGGAATTGCGATCGCCGCTTACTGCGTGGCGGCGCAACTGCGTATTGGGGCGGGGGTGGGGCAGTTACGTTCGCTTCTTGCTGCGTGACCGTGCGACTGCGTCCTGGGGTGGGGGGGGGGATGGGGTGGGGCAGTTACGTTCGCCTCTTACTGCGTGACCGTGCCACTCCGCGCTGGTGGTGATGGCGGTGTTGTTGGTAGCGATGATGACGATGTTGATGATGATGGTCATGATGATGATGATGATGATGATGATTATGTTGACCATGTTGATGATGATGATGTTGATGATGATGATGATGACGGTGATGATGTTGATGATGATGGTGATCATGTTAATGATGATGATATTGATGTTGCCGATGAGGATGTCGATGGCGATGACTTTGATGATGTCGATGATGATGGTGATGTCGACGTTGATGTTGATAATGGTGATGATGTTCATGTTGACGATGTTGATGATAATTCTGACGATGGTGATGTTGATGATGATGATGATAATGGTGATGATGATGGTGATGCTGATGATGATGGTGATGATGGTGATGTTGACGGTGTTGTTGATGATGATGATATAGATGTTGGTGGTGATGTTGATGATGTTGGTGTTGATGTTGATGATGGTGATGTTGTTGGTAGTGATGATGACGATGTTGATGATGACGGTAATGATGATGGTGATGATGATGATGATGATGATGATGTTGACGACGATGACGATGACGATGACGATGATGGTGATGATGATGATGATGATGATGATGATGATGATGATGTCGCTTTGCGTTCCTTGCGCTTTGTGTTCCCGGGTCTACAGTTGACGATTGTCTCCCAAAAGCACGGCGCCATCCATGTGCTACACGTGCATCGTGGTGCGTGTTCGTGCGCCTCATCGTGGTGCGCATGGACACTTGGAAAATGGCCGTGCTGCTGTAAATCACATACACTTGAGCAAAACCGCGTTCAAAAACGAGCCAAAACACGCGTTCAAAAACGAGCCAAAACACGCGTTCAAAAACGACCACCTTCCCTGTCTCAAAACATTTCGCCTGCAAAACATGAGTGCTTTCCTTTTAACTGCTCTTCAAAAGCAATGAGCCCAAATAGGGTACCCTCAAAAGAAACAAAATCCAACCACCAGCGGCACATTGTAAACCGGAGCCGGCAATAATATGCCAACTTGCTAACCTCCCACCAATTAAAATGGATCCTGACGTTGGAAATGGTCCTGGTATGGACCATCTTAGGAATTTAAAGGGACCATGTCCCGAACGTCGAACGGTTCCATGTGGGTCAAAGGTAGGTACCCAAGATGGAACCCTGGCAAATGGAATGGACTAAAACCTGTCCCTGGGTGGTTTAACTTTCACCCATAGCCATGTGAGTCGCAATCAAAACCTGGTACTGAAATAGTCTACCCAGAACCATGTACAGGATTGAGAAGGCGGATCTCCGCAGCTATTTATGGCAAGGGGATCGTCTCTTTACTAACCTTCATGTACCCGAATCGGTTTTGATGTTGGCTCATGTGTTCCAACCAAAACTGTGGGCTTAAGCCTGGAAACATGGAACTTAGGAGTCTGAAAAAAGGGACTAGGGCCATCCTCTGGCTCATAATCGGCTTCGATTTTGGCTCTCCACTTGCCGAGGCGCGAAGCGCTCGAAGAAGCGGGGCACGAGGTCGCGGGCAGGTCGCTTCATGGGCGTTGCCAGCTGGTGGATCTGCGAGAGGATCCTCAGCTCTTGGAGCCACGGGTTCCCAACAAAGGGCTCACAAAAACTTGGTTGACGTTGCAGTGCAAGGGTAGCAAAAGAGAAAAAAAAGAAAGCAGTTAAGCGGGGATTTCCCTCTAAACCACAATAAGCAAAAATGTAAAATGTTTCCCAACAACAACCATGAAAAAGACACGCACAAACTACCCTCTCTCCCACTATGGCATCCAAGAGGAAACAGATCTCAAAGGTACCCTCCAACAGATGCCGTGTTAGTGGGAGGGAGGGTAGGTTCCCAAAATTGCCATCTAAGAAAATGGCGGATCCTGGGTATAGGTAGGACTCGAAGAAAAATGTCAAACTGGCTCAGACCACCCAAAAAAGGGCCCCTCACAAAAAGACACGCCCAAACCACTGCCATCCTTACAGAACTCCTGGCAGCTCCTCAGCTCCCTGTTTAAAGCAAATACCCCACGGGCGCTTCTAAAAAAAGAAACTTCCCCTTTGGATGACAGGGGAAAACCCAAAGGAGGCTAATCACTTGAAGGGGCTCCTCGTGTTCGGAACTCAGTCCCAAGGTCCTAGGTTGGGCAACTTTAAGCTGTATGACTTGAACAAGTTGGCCGAAAAAGGGCAAACCAAACTTTAGATGAAGAACCGGTTGAAGGGCTTCTCTGTTTGATGGGCTGAGCAAAGATGAAGCAAGGGGAGACAAAAGCCCAAAACTTCCTCGCTTGCATCCAATTCAATACCGATTCAAAGCCACAAGGGAAGCCAAGGGAATGGTTGGCCGTGAACGGTCCTCAATGATCCTTTTTAGTCACTATCAGCCACTATGAGTGCTACATACTCTCCTTAATGAAACTCTAAAGCTTGTGTTGTTTTGCTTTTGTTGTTGTTGTTTTTTTTTTGGGGGGGGGAGGGCGGGGAGGGCATCATTTAGTGGACATCATTTGGGTGGGCGTCATGTTCACCAATTGAAACTCGTAGCCATATGATTGTGCCACCCCGGAACCTAAAAACCCGAAAAGCTGGGGCTGGGCTGTTTCCATTCTACGCATATCTGGGCCTCTCCACGTTCCAACTTTGAAGGTTGTGCATCTTTGACAGTCCTCCATTTGCATGTTTCGTCCTCGTCCAGTAGAGAAATCGATTCCCTTGAAAACCAACAGGGGAAGAGCAAATCTGCTGAACCACATGGAAGCAACTCAGAATCGCGTCGGTCGCAAAAAAAGAGTGTTTGCCATGTAGCCCTCAAGTGACAAATATGGATCCTGAACTGAAGTGGGGGGGGGAGGGGAGGGATGGGAGGGGGAGGGAGCCCAAATACGCCCTAAGTAAAAGGCTTTACTAAAAGCTAACGACAGCTGGGCTCCCTCCCCCAGGCCCCGATGAAGAATCTTCACCATGCTAAGTAGTCCTCAAATGGTTTGGCCGCGGCCGCACCAGGTTCGAGCATCCACTGTTTTGGATCATGCCTCAAACGCTTCGCATTGCAAACGATTGCCCACTCCAGTGTTCATCCCAAGGCTTAATCCCCTGTATAGCTGACCATGGCTCAATCTGGGTGTGTCTTTTCTAGAAGTTTCCCCCCCCCCCCCAGTCTGGTTTCTCTTTTTTCCTGTTTTTTACCCCCCCTCTTCAGTGTTTCCGGTTTCCCTTCTTCCCCTTTCGGTTGTTCTTCTGTCCGGCGCCTGCTTGCGCCATCTAGGCTCCCCCCCCCAGTTCGTCACCTCGCCGCCGGGGCGCTGCCCCTGACGCACCAATTTCTGCATCTGAGACCTGAGAAATCGAGGCATTTCCCGCCAGTTGGCCCCTTTGCGCCCCGGAAAGAACCGGGAAAATCTGTCTGGTGAAATCGACTCCCTATAAAACCCATGGGGGGGATTTGAGTCGCGTAGCATTCCATTTTACAAATGGGGACGGGCCTTTCTCGCCGGTGACTTGATGCAATGGCAAAAACACAACCTCTCACGAGGACCTTGCAAATCCCAGTTGCCTTGCAACCCCATGTTGACCCGTACCTATGTTGACCCGGATTAAGAAATCGCTTCTATTAACAGGGGTGCGGGCCCCTCCGCAAGTGGTCTGAATCCCCATTATAAAAGGTCACCCTCCATTAAAATCAACCGGGGGCGCTATTAATGGCTCCCTTTTACTTGAGTGGCAAAGCCACAAATTTGTTCCAAAAAGTTCTTTCGGGGACCATCCAGTCAAGGAGGGTCAACACCTTCACTCCGAATGCACCGGCGACCCCGCGAGAAAGGCGGCGGGCCTCTCCCCCCTCATCTCCGCGTTCAAGGCCTCCAGCATGAAGTAGCTGTTGGCCTACGTCCGCGTCATTGTCTGCTTCTTTCTCGCAGGTTTTCCGTGACAAAGCCGGCGGGGGTGTAGCTGCAAGTTTTAGGATTCCCCAAGGAAAGGACCTCTACACATCATGGTGGACTTCCTTAGTTTCAGGGGAGCTCGCCATATTTGTTGTTTTCCCCATGTGACAAGATGAACATAGAGTATACGTTGACCAAAAAGTAGGCTTGCCTAACGGTTCCCCGTGCAGGGTTGTAAGGTTTTCAAGTATAATAAAATATAATAAAGGAGGCAAATACAGGGGCAAGGCCGTACCCTCCATACATGGAACAACGTTGGGGCTTTCCAGGCGCCAGGAACAAACGCATCACGTAGCCATTGTGCTGACGTGGCGCGTACTCCTCCAGGAGAATGTGGCCCTCTTTGACCAACATGCCCTGGCCGGCAGCAAAGCTGGCGTCACAACTCGTTTTCTAGTTCGAGAAGCAGGGAATGGAGGGAATGTCTCCTATGCACCATCCTGGTGGTTTCCTTTAAGATCCCAAACGGTTCATTCCAAAACAAAAACGCATCTGTTGTGGATTCCTTTGGGGTCCCCAAACATTTCATTCCCCAAACGGCCCCCTACTGAGAACCAAGTCATCGTGAAGCGAGGAGCCAGCGCCAAGCCGAAACCATCATTGGCACAGAAAAAACGATTTGATAAATTCACAGAGCCCTAGGGTTTTCGGGTTTTCTAGGGTGCTATTGGGGTTGCCAAAGGAGCCGCGGCGGAGCCTCAAGAAGGCGGCGAAAAAGCTCGCCTCAGAGGCTGAAACAGCTGTTTGACACCCCGCGCCTGGGAAGTGTCCCAGTCGGCATCGGCATATCGATCCAAAACACCTTCGGCGCTTTGAGGAACGTGGCACATGACCGCCCAACAAACAAACAAAAAAAGAAACGGAGAGTCGACCATGAAAAGCAGATACCCCTCAAGCTGTCAGTCTCTGTCTACTTGGCTATTTAGATTGGTGGAACCCTTCCTTTCGAAACCAAATGGGGAAGGCACCCACTCCAAACCACCAATCCAAACCACCGATTAGGGGTAAGGTGAATCTGGAAATTCATCCCCTCCTCCCCCCCCCAAAAAAAGAACAAAGAAAAGAAAAACGCACACGCGCATGAGCACACACACACACAAACAAAGCTTTCCCTGCAAAAAAAAAAGACAATGCGTGGCTCACAAACACCGGCAATCCTCACGCTGCAGCCCAGCAGCTTTGGTTTTCTTCCTTGAACTTTATGTACCTGCGACTGGAATCGACCAAAACGACACGCTGGGAAGCTGATCGGTACGTTTTTTGCAGCCCGGGGGAAAGTAACTATATACTTCTCTGCAGAAGCTGCATGGGCCATTTGTAGAGGAATCTCTCAGGGGTTCCGAGTCATTTCATCAGTGGACACCAGTAAACTGATCAAACCTCCCAGGGGTTCCGAGCCATCTCCCTTGTCTGGCACCTGAAGTGGCGATCGGTTCCATCCGGACTTTCCACCTTTGATTTGGTTGGAAATCCAGGCCGCCCCTGTCAAAAAGGCCTTCAAAAGGTCCCACGAAGGGCTCCTAAAAGGAGGATGGCTCACACGCAGAGATTCCTCCACGGGATTTCATTCCCCTGGGAAAATCCGAGTGTCCACTTTCCAGCCCTACGGGCTGGCAAGAAATGTTCACTGGCTTTTGCAGCCCCAAGGCAAAAAGGGAACGGAACCTAAAAACCATGCCAACCACAGAGAAGTCCACTTGAAGTGAAAGTCAAAAACCGGCCAAAGAGCAGCCAGGTAAATATGACGACTTATCCCAGAGAACTTTTTTGCCAGACCAAGGGGGTCCTATGCCGACTTGCTCCCGATCTATTTTGCCTAAGAACCACAAGGAACCTGTGTGGCCAAAAATGTGATGTCATGCCAGAGTCATGCCACCAAAAGGGGAATAAGAATATTGGGATTCCGGGACCCTGTGAATAAATAACTGCAGATTCTCAGCAAACTTGGGCAACTGGTTTCTGGAATTCCAGCCGTTCCCCATTACCTAGAATCGATCAATACCAGTGGGCCACTTTCAAGCATTGTGGCGAACCACTTTCAACCAGTGGAACGCATCTGTTTCCAACAAGACTAGCCTAAAATGGACACATGTGGACACAAGCCTAAGAAGTGTTGATCCCCTGCTGATTCTTCCAAGGGTGGTAGGGAGGCGGGGGGGATGAGTTCGCAGACTGCCTACCTGACGGGCGGAGGTTCCAGTCGCCCGTCATTTAGGTTCCCTTTTCCTGGTGGTCATTTGTTTGGTGATTCAGCCCGTTCCGCCCAACATGGCTTCTTGCTTTGGCTGGGTTCCTCCCCCAACAAGGCATTTGAAGAGGGTGCAACGGTGCACCCCTGCAGTTGACATCAACACACCACAACTTCGACAGGAACTTGTTTTGTCCCCACCCCACCCTTGCCCCCCACACCACCCCACCCTTAACCCCCAAACACCCCACCCCACCCCACGTCCACCCCACGCCATCCCACCCCACCCCACGTCCCCACGTCCCCACCCTACGCCATCCCACGCCGGGTATTTCTTCCGGGCGGCTCGTCTGTATCAAAGTCCTCGCCCTTCTTCAGGCGCGAGGCACTCGCGAAGGATTGGATGATGGTCCGCTCCTGGCGCCGGCTCGGCGGCCGAGCTCCCACGTCAACCATTTCGAGAGCCCTACCCTTGGTGCCGTTGTGCGGCCTACCCAAAATGAACAAAAAACAAAAATAAAACTTGACAAGATGATCCAAGAACGGTGAAGTGACCCGAAGTGGGTTCTAACAAAGAGGGTGTAGCAAATGAGACCTAACAAATGGGTTCTAGAATGCTACACACATGATTCTCCTTTGGCACAAGCTGGAGCCTGGCTTCTTGGACCTGTTTAGGGTTTTCCCCCTCACTTGCTCCAGGCTTTCCATTGCACTCCCCCGGTAAATCCATGGAGTCTTGCAACTGGAGGAGGGCTACCCTCGAGGAGCATGAAGGAACCCAAAGGAACCAAATGGAACATTGAGGCGCCACCTGTGCTGAACTGCGTTAAAAACCTCGCAACCCCAGACTCAGTGACTCGGTTTTTGGAGGCGTGTTGCAAGAAAAAAACAACTTCACCCAGCGGCTGGAGGCACGGCTTTTTACTGCCTGGAAGGTCTTCTGGCCTTCTGGGTGCCTTTAGGTGCCCCCCCCGCGGCACGGCTGCCGATCGATCCAAAACCCCTGTGGTGGGAGGCCGAAAAATGACACCTCCTTTTCTCTGGCCACATGGTGGTTGTATACAGAAGCACATGGCCCTTGGGTGGTGCTTGGGCCTCCTGGAAATCGGAAAAAACGGTGGAGTAAAAAAGACAAGAAACAAAAAACTAGCCCCAGCTTTTTAATAGCCCCGGCTCGGCACAAGACCTCCCTCCAAAGAGGTTGGCTGGGGATTGGTGGCCGCATCGCCAGCATTTCCGGTTTCTTGTCAGGGTGTCTTGATGGTAGTTGACAGTTGCTCGGGCTGGCCGGTTTGCGGCTGGTTTAGCCGCTTTCGGGTTGCCTCAGGGATGTGGTTATGCAAGTTTTGGGCTAGGATTGGTGGTTTGGGCAACGCCCTCAAAACCAATCCCAAACCAGCCCAAAACTTGCATAACTACGCCCTGAAGCAACCCGAAAGCCACGGCTAAGACCGCACACCTAGCACAGATCAGCCCCAACCAAGCCAAAACCGACCCAAAGTCAACCTTAAACCCTCCCAACCGCATCCTGCATATCAGCCCTTCGCCGAGCCGAAATGCACCCCAAACGACCCGTCCTCATTAAGACCTCATCAAGCCCAACACTCACCCCAAACCAGCCCCGAGCAACCCTGAACTGCCACCAAATCAAAGCCAATGGGCAGCTCAGGTCCGAGTTAGGCCGGCGATGCGGCCGGCTAGCCCGAGCAAGTGTCAACTACCATCAAGACATGCCCAACACGCGGCCCTGACCAATGATGGGGATGCCGGGCATGCAACCAACCAACCAAACAACCAGCCTCCTAGAAGAGGTTAAGCCCCGAGCCGGGGCTAGTAAAACAACGACAACACCGGTTCCCGGAAAAAAAAAACACCCAAAAAACAAAAGAGACGCCGAAACGCGGACGCCCCGAAAGCTGAGGTCAACACCCCACGAAGGCCGGGCCCACGGAGAGTCAGCGAAACCCAAGACTTCTTGCCTCGGCCACCTGGCACACGTTGTCCACGTGCAGCGGCCGCCGGGCTTCGAGCTTGGCGGCCTTCCTGGGGGAGCCGGCTACCGTTGGACGTTGGAGCCGGTGAACCCGTTCCAAGCCCAAAAGGGCAGTAAGAAGCCGAGGGTTTTTTGGGAGGTTCCGATGTTTTGGGACGGAGCCAAAGAAGCAAATTAACAACAAACATGGCAGCAACAGTGGTTTGGTTGTAGTTCTACTTATGGACAGGACTTAAAGAACCTAATCACCTGAAATAACATGGCAACAACGGTGAGGAACCCACAAATGGGCTCGGTATTCATTCTTTGGGTTTGCCAAAGGAAACCAAGGACAAAAAAATGTGCCCTCGAAGAAACACCACCAACTGACCAACTGGGCCTGCTTGATCGGAAACCAAACAGGGGCTGAAGAAAACCCGGCCGGGTGTTTTGACACGTTTAATTCAAGGGCGGGTCGAATGGCCCAACCACGGGGCCTGGCAAACCTTGCTGCATGGGCATCGCTTGCAAAACGGATGGTTCCTTCTGGCTTCTTTTCCCTCGCACCCAGCTGGCTCACGGGGCAGAACTTGTTCCTCCGGCACTTTGTTTTTGGAGGAACGTCCCACAAGGGAGGTGGCTTGAGCAATTATGGTTACACGTTTGGCTTTCCGACCCAAGCGGAATGGGCTTGCAAACAACAAGGCCTGTGTTTTCCAGCCCGCTAATAAAAATGAACAGAATCCACAAAACCTTAACTCTGTTGCTTTCTGCTCCCCTGCTAAAATTTCAACTTTTAGTGGTTTGATGGACAACCCATTTGTTGGCAAAAAGCTAAAGAAGCTAATGCGCATGATCCAACAACTGTGAAAGAACCCCCTTTGTTGACCATGCGCAGTGCCAAGAGTCTCGAGATTCTCGCTCCCTCCCTGCTCGGTGAGCCTCTTGATTTCCTGAGAAGGGAATCGGGACTCGGTCGAGTAAGGCACCATCCATTGAATCGAGCATCCCAGTCCCACGTGGAGATGCTTCACCGGATTCATCTGAAGCTGACATTGCAAGATCTGGGTGTGTGTGTGTGTTTATGTTTGTGGGTGTAATTGTAATTACCCTCGGAGAAAAGAATAAACGAACACAGCCATCTGCTGCAAGATCTGACTTCGCGGCCTCGTCAATCTCCTCATCCTTCCTGTCGCGGGTGTGGCGATTCACCCGGATGTTGAGGCCCTTGTCCAGGTTAGGATGGAACGTGGTCTGGCGCAACGACCCGAGCGGTCGCGGAAAGCACAAAGATGCCGTCCAAAATCCCAGGACTTTGGTTGGTTTGCGCTTGAGTGTGCAAGCAACGTCAGGCAGGCAGTTTTGTTCCAATCATGGGCCGCTTACAACGGTGGTTATCTTGCTGGTTCTCAGCAGGGAATGAGTTGGAATGACCCCAGTGGTTTCCTTTCAGGTCATTTCCAAACCCTGATTCCCTGAGCACCCGCCAAGACGACGCAGCGAGCGCAGAGTCGTCTTGGAGCCGGGAGTCGGGAGTTGGAAGCGCGCGCCTCGTCGTCGCTCACTTCGAGGCGATCCCACTTCGCGTAATCGAAGCCTGACGACCTCGGCGACCCGTCCGCGACCAGGCCCAAAGGTCAGGGACCTTTGGTCCCGTTTTTTTTTTTTCTCCCCGAGAAATCCGTAACTCCTCCACTAAAACCAGGGGAACCTCTAGCAAGAGCTAGGATTGAACAAACAGAATCGAAGCCGATCCCGGTTTTTCAGGAGGCGATTGGAGTAGGACATTTCAAAGGAGACGACAAGGTCAAAGGCTAAAAATGGCTATGAAGCCTGCGTTTATTGTATGGGCGTGTGTGTGTTTGTTGGAGGGTATCCTTTTCAGGGTACCTTAGCGAACCACAGGAAAGCTACCATTTTAAGGGCTCCAAAAAAAAACTCATACCCCTATGACTTTCTATGCGTTAGACCCGTATCTTTCCTAGGTCCTCCAGTAGGGAGGTTAGAATAAGGGTGCCCTTTTTTCTGTACTCTATTTTAGTAGGGGAACCCTCCCCCTAAAAAGAAACGGTAAAAGGGCACTGCTGGGGGATCTCTATCTTTCAATTCAAACACATCAACCCCTTTAAAGGTGATGTGGTGAGGCCACCCAGAAAGCCCCGCTGCCTGCAGCCGCGTCACATGGGACCATCCGCTGCCGAGGGAAGTACCCGAGACGACTCGAGTACTCTCAGCCGAATGGCTGCGGATGTGCAGTTCCCCAGTAAAACGGCAGGTGAAGTACCCAAGTGCACTCCTACAGAGATTTTTTTGACCCACGCAACAAATATGTGTGCGGGTGCTTTTTGAGGGTACCCCTGTCTGTGGTTGAAAAAGAAGGAAAACTACTGAGGGGAGGGGGGGAGTTCCCCCAAAAAAAAGACTCACCCGAATTGCTTTTGGTAGAACCTCCGGTAGGACATGCATGCAGGTCCACGCAGGCTCTGCGCCAGGATTGGCCAAAAGGGGAGCTTGCCCAACATCCATCCGATGCAGGGGTCAGTGCCGTGAGTGCCGGCGGTTTGTCTCCTTTTGGCTTCCTTCAAGCAGGGATGCCTAGATTTTCTCGTTTGGGCCTTGGCCTACCATGTCCCTAACCAGAACTTACAGAAGCTCCTGGAACTGCTCCCTCTTCAAAATACAAAGCACAAATTTTCGGATACCCCCCGAGCTCCGAGCTCCGCGCTCCGCGCTCCGCGCTCCGAGTCTGGCTCCCTTCCAACCAGCCCGTGGCCCTTTCCGCGAGGTGTTCCGTCGTTCCGAGCCCCCAAGACCCTGGCATCATCGACGGCGGCTCCTCACGGCAGAGGTCCGGCGGTTGCAAACGGCGTTCGCAGGGTGTCATGTCTTGAGGGCACCCATTTGATGGCCTTGTTTTGTTTTGTGTTGTTTTTTCCCCTCCTGGGGGAACCACAAGAAGAACGAAATCCAGGTGGGGTGGGTCCAAACCCCAACAGAATAGAGGCCTGAGCCGGGCTGCTCCGCCCGCGGTCCTGCTTCGGCTGTCCCGGCGGGACCGCGACCTGAATTTCGCTGAATCGCTTCTCTCGGAGTGTCTGGAGATGAGCCCGGGGAGAGTTTGGGACCCCTAACTCCTTGGGTCCGGAGCAATTAAGCAGAGCCCCTTAGTTGATTCAGAGGGGGGGGGGGGTATTTTCGACCATGGTCAAAACTAGCTGAACATCCAAGCAGGGGAGTATCATTCCGGGGTCAACCCGGCTATGGCCAGGGCCCCCAATGCCAACCCAGAATATGCTTCAGGGTTTGGATTTGGAGGTAGGGGTTGGAAACCCCCTTCTTTCCTACAAGAACCAGGGATCCCTTCAAACCCAAAATGCCAATCCAATCCAAACCATTGGAAACTCTGCTGCCATGGACAGGCTCCCAAAGAGGATCACCAGTGTGCCAACCCGCGTACATTGCAACCTTTGTGGTTGGGCCGCATACCATTTGTTTGATGTTTTTTGTTTTTTTCCTGAAAATTACAAGGATGAGGTGGGTGCCCGACGCCCACTGATCCAGTATCCAATCTATTGGGGGTCAAAGGGTTGGGGGGGGTCACTTTTCCTCAGAGAAAGCAAGCGCTGAAGCGCTTTACTGGGTCTGACATTTTAAGACGAGACAGCGGGTGTCTTGTTTACGGGGACCCACTGAAAAGAAATGGCGGTTTTCCTGTTGGTTTCCCTCAAGCAAAGAAAGGCACGCCCAAACCCGTGTTCAGGTTCCTTTCTAGGGGGGGGGGGGGGGAAACGCTGTTCCAGTTCTTGTCAGCAAGGCGAACAAACACTTTTCGGACGTGGTGACAGTGCCGAAAGGACATCAACCATTTTTGTGTTTGGAGGGGGAGGGTACAGAACTCAGTGGATTTCCCCAAATCTAAACTAGATCTTTTTTCTGCTAGGTTGCAACCCAAACTCCCACCTGTAACAAACTACAAGGGCAACCCTTCGCAACGTTCGAACCTTGTGGCTGTTAATGCACCAATGGATCCCAGGCGTTTCGCCCGTAAAAAGGCAGCACCCATAGGTCAGGCATACACTTGGTATCAACCAGCACCTCACCAGCTCTCGAGAACCCGGTGCTTCCCAAATAACCAACAAAAAACCCGCCTGCGCCGCGAGGACCTGCGGGAACGGTCTTTTAACAGGCTGGTGTTCGGCCCCCGGGCTCCCCGGCCGTATGGGGCTCGTCTTTTCGTCTTGTTGAGTTGATGCCGTCTGTTTGGGTGGTCTTAATGATTGAAACCAAAAGGGACGCCATATCTATCTACATATATACACTAGTTCAATGCTATCCTATATATTTTATTATTATTTTCATTTTATGTTGTTGTATTTTATTTATATATATGTTGTTTTTATTTGGGGGGGGGGGCTGAAAACACATCCATATTGCAAAGGAACAAGAGATAGGTTTTCAAGAGGATGGAGATCCGTTCTTCCAAGGGCATCCTGTCCACATGATTCTTAGGACATACTGGTGGACGAAAGGTTCATTTCGGACCGCGAAATGAAACTATGGTTGAAACTATTGTTTGTTGGAATTTACAGGGGAAGACTATCATTCCAGATTTTTCTCAGGTGGTGCGAAATGGATTTCGTCCATCCACAGCATTGCAAGGGAACTCCCCTTGGTTTACGAAATCGTCACCTATGGCTTCGTGGTTGAGCGTGATTGGCTCACTCATCTTTGTTTAGGGCGGGTAGGCCACCCACCGTACAGTTGGAAAATCGATGCTTGCGACATGTCTGCATCTGAGACGAGACGGCCTGGGGCGGAACACTCGACCCTGGAAGATACCTGCCAAAGAAATATGAAGGGGCTGTCCCACGCAAAGTTTTGGGCTTGCACCGCGATCGATGCCACAATTGCAACCCATTTTGGTCTGGTCCTCTTTTTCATTTAGCCCCGAAGAATTGTCCAACCTGCAAACGTCAACTTCGCAGCCGAAGAGCAACGCACAACAAAGATGTGGCCATGGGTGGAACTCCCGTAACCCCAGTGAACATCCCAATCCCCACTAAAATAGACTAAAATGGGCGGTGCACCTACCCAAATGGGATCCCATTGGTTTTGACCCACAGCCATGTGTCTAGGTTGGACCTCTCCAATCAAACTTGAATGAAGGGTTTGGCTAGAGGCGTGCGCGTCCTCTTCGCCCCCGTCTCAAAAGGGGTTGCCACCCCGTTTTGGGGACGGGGAAAAAACCAATGGTCTCGAATGGGAGGCAAAGACTGCATCCTAGCCTCCTGCTGGGACCAGAAAAATCGGAGTAGCTTTGGACCGGCCTCTGGTCCCAGTCTAGCATGATGCAAATTCTGGCGATAGCTGTGCCAGAGATACGTTTGGATACAGCTCGCGCTACAACTTGCAGTGGCGCAATGGCAGCGCACCTGGGGGGCCTCCTTTTTGGGTTCCTTCCGTTAGTTTGTGGGGAGAAAGGAGTCCAGCCCAAACCGCTGTGAGCTTGCAGAAAAAACTGACTGCTTCCTTGCAGCCACTAAAAAATGAATGCACCCTGCCCAAACAAGGCAAACAGATTGCTTTGCGCTTTGGCAGCGCGCAGGCGATACAACCAGAACCAAGAAATTTAACCTAAAAGCAAAAAGCTTGCCAACGATAACTAAGGAAAAGCCTCCCAGCTTAGCCCCGGTGTCTCTGCACCCGCCTGCGGCTGCGGCTGCGGCTGCGGCTGTCCCGGCCGCCCCCCCCGCGACCTCGGGGAGAGGGCCAAAGAACCTGCCCCCGTTGTCCTCCCTTGCTTGGGTGTTTTTATCAACTTGTTTTTTTTCCTTGGAGGGCACCCTTGTGGTTGCTTTCACGTGGGTCAACCGGAGGGTAGCCGTCAAGCACCCATTTTTGGGGCCGCGGAGCCGCCAAAACCTGAGGAAGGCAAAGTCTGGCCATCTGAGCCGGGCCGCGGCCATCATTCCGGAGCTTCTCCTTCCACGAAACGCCCAAGCCCCCACCCCCATACAGGTGGACACAGGGTAAATTTTTTGCAACCTCCTTCCTGTTTCATGCTTTTTAGGGTTCTTGAGGCACCCCCCCTTTCCCACGTCTTTCTAGGTGTTGATTCCCCATTCTTTTCAACCATCGTTCTTTCCAAAAACCGGCCGTGTTCCCTCGGATTCCGCAGGTTAAGAAGGAAGGATCCCTGGAAAGAACGGGGAAGGTACCCCTAGAGTCTTTGTGTGTTGTCCTGTGCCGCCCTTCGGCTTTGAACTTGATCAGCTCATCGAAAGACAAAAGGTCGAGTGGCTTTGGGCAAGTGAGCAAAAGTGTTGTTCTGGAGTACTGAAATGAGAAAACCATGAGACCAGCACAACTTTGATCAGGTTCTGGTTTTGCTACAATCCCAGGAAAAAGGCCACCTCACGTCCGATCTTTTCTGGATTGGCCAAAGTATGTCCAGGATGTTGTTTACCACTCAAGTAGTGCATACCTTCTACAAGGCTATGTTGCTGCGGCCGATGCCCTGAATACAAGCAAGCCAGCCAAAATACCTCCATGCCACGTTCCCTATTTGCAACAGTCAAGTAGACTACAACCTGCGTAACCCCAGCTGTTTAATGTTGACCCCATATTCATCAACCCCGGTTTATTCATAGGGGGCGTCCTTGATTTTAGTAGGGAATCTAGCCACTTTTGGAGGGAACACCCCTTTTGATGAACTGGGGTTAATTAATATGAGCTCAGCGGCTTGGTTTAGTCGGAAACCTGGTCACTTTTGGAGGGAACAACCCCCCTTTGACGAAGGCTCAACATTGTATGTAATTTTTGAGCCACGCCCCAAATGGGGCAGCAAGGCTTTAGCCAACCAACGTTTCGGGGCTGTCTCGCAGTCCTGAACCAGCTCATTGACGAGACGCTCAGCGTGCATGCGCCCCCCGTTGTCGGTTTTGTTCCCTGCGCGGAGCGCGCTGGAAGCACGCCAAATGGCTGTGGCGAATTCAAAAAAACGGTACCAAAATGGGTTGCCCTGGTAAGTGGAAACATGGACCAAAACCTGCGTGCCCCTCCTGTATAAGTTTAAGTTTGAGCCACACGCCGAATCAAAGGCGCAGTCCCCCTGCGCCGCATGCAAAACCAAAGGTGACGCAAGCCTGCTCTGCAGTGAAACAGGCGCCCTTTTTTGTGGGATAGGATGGTTTCCTGTTGATTTCCCTCTACAACTTCAAGCTGAGATTTGGTCTGTCTTTTTTCGCGCCTACCCGAGTATTTTGTGGCTTTAAAGGGAAACCAAAAGGAAACCAACCAATTACGGCTACTATTGACATGTTGGGGTTGGTCTTCGGGTGAGCTCAGCGAAATAGGTGAACGCGCCAAGATTTTGGCTCGGATCTTGGCGATAGGGTCGATTTCAGGTTGATTCACGCTGCATTGCATTTGGGTTGGAGCGCCACCAAAAGAAAAAAGCGTGAAAGAATGCCAAAAGCTGCAAAAAGACAAAAACCAGCAAAGCACCAGCAAGAAACAAGACTGCTGGCAAAAAAGGCACACAAACCAAAACATGACCCTCCATTTCCCTTGGCGACATGGCGATCACCACATCCACCCTTTCCCCAAAATCCTCCAGGCTTATGGATGAAACAATACCCTCCCACGCGGGGGATCCTGGAAGACAATTTTCCTTTCTCATCGGGACCGGGCCCCTGTCAGGTTCCATGCTGATTGATGGGAGGGTGTTCGGGTACTGGTTCCTTGTTTAAGACCCCCTACATTTCCCGCCAAAACTCGCTTCCAGCCGGGCGTGCGTTGTTTCTCTTGGTTGGTGTGAAAACGGGAAACCAAAAAGGAAAGCTGGCCCTTAAAAAAAGAGACATCAAAAGCGGGCATGTCCCCTTTTGATGTCCCCTTGAAAAGTTGATCAATTTACTGGTGGCGTCCACTAAAACGATCGCCACTTTTGGATGTTCCCTTCAAAGGGAAGCGGCAGCGGAGGATACCCTGATAAAGGCCAACTTTCCTCACGGACTTTCATTTTAGAAGGCCTCTTCAAAAAGTTGGAATTTACTGGCGTCCTCCATTGAAACTGCCACTTTGGTTGGAATCCCCGAAATTTTGGGAGCCCCAGTACTTCTCTTTTTATGGGGCCCACAAGTTGGTCGATCCCCAGCTCCCAGCCCGGCTCGCGCCTGCGTTGGCGCCGAAGATCAACAGCCGCTCCTTCCAAGTGCCGGCTTCTAGGGCCACAGAGCTGAGTTGGACCGAATCCGAAACCAGAAGCCTGGCACCTACCCTGGGTCCTCTTCGTAGGGAGGCGAGAATAAGTTGGTACCCAACTTCTTTCAGTTTTGTCTATTTCAGTAGGGGAACCCTCCCCCAAAAAAGGACAAAAGGGCACTACTGGGGGACCTAGCCTCCCTCCCAGTAGCATGGCACCTAAAAGGGGGGCACTTCACAAGGAAACTGATCTTCCAGGTGCCGTCCCACACCAGCACCGCCCGACTGCTGCGCTCATTTTACTTTCGTAACTACCGCCTATTTAGCAGTAGTTCCGCAAGTAAAAAAAAAGACAGTAGATCCCTGATCTACGGTCGTTTCAGGTTCTTTCCCAACAGTAAAAAACAAGCTTATATTTTATATATCCCTACCCCACGGGATCACACGCAAGTGACACGCAGTGACACGCAAGCGACGCGGGGTGACACGCAGGCGACACGGCGTGTCACTGCTGTTGTTCGTGGCGACACGGGGCGGCACGCAGGTGACACGGGGTGACACGGGGTGACACGGGGTGACACGGGGTGACACGGGGTGACACGCTTTGAGGCGCTTGCTGCATACCCTTGATTGCTACCACCCCTGCTGTGGCATCTCCCCTTTGTAAGCAGTAGATAGCAGTAGTTAGAATATTGGCATCTCGCAAATAAAACAAATAACAGTAGTTTTTCTAACTACGGTCTTTTTTGGACAATTCTATCTACTACCGAGGGGGGGTGCGGACAGGGGCCATGTTAGCGGGAAGGAGGGTAAGGGCCCAATAAGTACAGTGGAATGAGGTTGTGGGGTGCTTAGACAATTAAAGAGCAAGAACAAAAACTGTTTCCCCAAGGACCTCTCCCAGGCACCCTAGGCAGATAAGCGTTTTACACTTAAAGGAAAAGGGGGGGGGGGTACAAGGGGGGGGGGTTAGTAATCTATGGAAACAATGCATGTTCAGTTTCTGGCTATGGTGGTTTCTCCCTTCGAAGGGGCAAAGACCTGGTTTGAGAGTTCCCAAATCAGACAATCAGAGGGGTCCTTTTCGAAAGCGGGGGGTCAATGGCCAATCTTTTTGGGTGGACCAAACAACATCGCCCCGTCAAACGCATATCTTATCAGAGAATCCCATTGATGGGCCTTAGGTTGGGAAACAACCAACAAAGTGTATATAGAGATATACTGGGCCGTCCTCAGATTGCCTGGTAAAAGTATGACTTTTAGTGGGTTGAACAGAAACCCAACCACAAGGAACTGGATGGCTCGGAACCACCGAATTTATACATTTTGTGTCTCATCTCTTTGGAGACCAACAAAGGAGCACTGGTTGGACCCATGCCCAGTAAACTGCGTCTCGAAACTCTCGACCCGCGAGCGGAGCGCCAACCGCCCCTTTTCTTGGTGGTCTCACCCACGCCCTTTTGTGGCTTTCCAAAAAAAAAAGAAAAAAAGGAAAACGAGGAGCTACGACCATGTCGGGGCAAGGGGGCTCAAAAAAAAAACTGACGCCCCCCCAGATGCGCCATATCTACTGATCATCCTGGGCCTTTAGAACTCGATGCGACCCCGCCGCAAAACAAAATCGCCGCCGCCTCCCCGCGGGAGTCCAAGGCCATGAACATGAACCTCGCACGGGGGAAATCGAAGGCTCAGGAAGAGCCGACAGAGGGGCGGACAAGGGCGGCTCTCTCAAAAAACGAGGGGACCACCCAAAAATGGTGTTCCTTTTGGGTATCCCTTATTTAAAAGAAAAAAAGGAAAAAACACAAAATGTCGGTCTTCCTTGCTTTCCTTGAAAAACACTAACGCCTCCCCCCCACCCACGCAAAAGAAAGACGCACCCACGCGTGTTTGCTTTACGAGCCTGCAGCCCGCAAAGGGGAAAAAAATGCAGGGCCAGCTGCTGACCTCAGATTCCCTTGCGAGATAAAACCCCCCCAAAAAAAAGAACCGCTCCAAATCTAAGGAACCCGACGGCTAGGAACTGCCAAGAAGAATGACCCCTGTGTACCAACCAAAAGCCTGCATTTGCTCGTTTTTGTCCAGGCAAAAAGGAAAAATATGTCCACTAGTGATAAATTCCCTCTAAAACCAGCAGGGGAAAATACACCAAACATAGTCTGTTCAGCAAACTCATCGATTTGGTGGAAGAAGATGTGGAATTCAGCCATCCATGCATAAAAATATGTCATACTACTGTGGATGAAATCCATTTCGCACCACCTAAGAAACCCTTGGAATGATTCGATTCCCCAGCGTACCTTCCAACAAAGGTTTGTGGTTGCCTTGCCATGGTTTGATTTCGTGGTGCGATTTATGGATGACTCGCAGAACCATCCACAGAATTTCCAGCCAATGGAGGAATTGACCACCCTCCGCGGCTTCCGCGCATCGCGGGAACGCCTTTGTCCAGGGGTGCTTGTACATACCCCCTGTTGTATACCCCTTGGACAAATGAACCCAGGCCTGCTGATGTTCACACCCCTCCAACCCCAAAAAATATATATAAATATATATATGCAACCCCCCCCCCCATGGACCCTGGTTTTACTGCCTTTTGGGGATGGCAAATCTAGAATTTCCACATTTATATTCTCGAAATTTCCAATTGTGGGTCCCCAAAGCGTGATAATTTGGAGCCCGGAGTCCTCCACAATGTCCCAGTATGATACCTTTGCACATAAGATGTTACTTCAACTAGAATTGGAATTTTGCATATAGTTTAGTATGGATATAGTTTTCAAAAATGTGTTTATGTTCAATTACAGCTTAAACAAGCAAATCCTTTCCAAATAGCAGCTACATGAAAATGTAAATATATACTTTCGGCTAAACTCCAACTAGTCTATAACACAAGAAGTTAGGTGGAAGTTTTTTCCCAAATATAATCCAAGTGGTAAGTATAATCTAAGACGAACACAACTCAATTTGCTTTTGATAATATCAAGTGAATAAGAGACTACATCTCAAATATAATGCATATTCAATATGGCTAAACATTTGGAAATTAAAAATAGGATTTGTGTTGTTTACATTCTGGCCCTTTTGTAGCATAAGAAAGGTCCGACATTGAACTTGTTAGACGGTGTTCCAAAGGGACATTTCAAGGGAAGAGAGGTTCAAAATCTAAAACTATCTCGAAACAGGGATTCTAGCTAAACCGTTGTATTTAAAGTTCTATTTGCGCAGGAAAGCTAATTCTATGTCAAAAGGTGGAGGTAGTAGATGAGCAAATGTGGACAGGTAGTTGAAGAGGGTGGGGGATGGTGTGTGAACGTACATACATATGTATATCTGTATATACACATACATACACACATATATAGTACCCCCAATGATCCTGCGCCTCCTCATAACATACTGGAAAATGCAGTATTTTTGAGCGTTGCACCTGCCTTTGTTTACCTCCTGGAAAGGGGTCAACATGAGCATAGCTGACATGAAGCTCACCAAAAGCACTTGAAAGTTTGTCTAACCAATATCTTGAAAGTGTGTCCACTGGATCGCTAAGCACTTGAAAATTTGCTACTATCGGATGGAAGATTCAATATTAAAGATTACACAGAACACTTTCCTGAGAATTGTCAATCCTGGCCAAACCCAAATAGCATTCAAGTTCTTCTAACACTTGAAAGTGCTTTACCACTGGATTGGGGATTCAATATTGAGGAGCCCACAAACCACCACTTTCCTGAGAATCATCCATCCTGGTCAACCCCTAAAATGTTCAAGTTGTTCTATCACCTCGAACATCCGTTACCACTGGATTGAACTATTTCACGGAAAACGTTTCCGAGAATCTTATTGAACACCGAGAGTATTGGGACAACCCTGGAATTTTTAAAACTTTTTAAAAAAAAACAGATTCTTGAATCTTGAATCCAGAATTGTTAATAATTTTTAAAAATTATGGGATTCAAGATTCCCAGAAAATATTTTCTCACATTCTTGAATCTTGAATCTTGAATCCCATAATTTTTAATAATTTTTAAAAATGTCTGAGTTGTTCTTGCATTCTTGGATGCATTCAAACTCTTTCAGATTGCAGGTGCTGATGTCATAGCTTTTATCACATCTGTATGCATGCATGCGTATCATATACATGTACGACCCTCCCCCCAATTTTGACACAAATCCAAGAAGCAAAAAGAAGCATACAACACTGGAAAATACAGGTCAACCGCACCAAACCAGGGTCCATGGGGGGGGGGGTACCATATATATATATATATATATGTGTAAAATTATTAATAATATATATATATATATATATATATGCCCCTTCTAAAGTGGGTTAGCCACGGAAGCCAAGGAACCGGTATGAACGAGGTATGTACTTGCATTCTTAGACTTTGGAACCCTGGGGTCTACCGGGCGCCGGGCGTGCCCGTCTCTTGCTCCACCCGGCGCAGCTCGCTGCCGCGGTTCCTAGATCCGAGCGCCCGCTTTCGCTTTTCGGTTTTCTTTTTTCTTATCGGTTTCTCTCAACAGGGCCGGGGGTGGTTTCCCGGGCCCCCGGAAAAAAATGTTTCCTTCGGCACGCCCGATTTTTTTGGGGGTTGGGACCATGACCCGGAAAAGGAGGAGTGACGTGTTGGGGGGTTGAATTGTTTCCAACCATTCTTTTCAAACCACCGTGCTTTTCGAAAACCGGCCGTTTTACCCAGGTTTCTGGAGGGTTCCTGAAAAGAAGGATCGTGGAAAGAATGGGGGAGGTACCCCAAGAAACAGGGCGATACAACGGGCTTCCCCAGGCGCACCCGGAGACTCCCAAAAGTATCACAGAAGTGGTTGGATCAACCCCGAGTGATCACGACCCTGCTTCTCAACGACTTTTGATTTGTAAAGGGGCAGTGTATGTCAGGTGAGCGGGTAATAGCCATAGTTCTTATCCACAAAAGCCATGGTTATAAGTCTCCATTCAGTGAGTTATAACAAGGCTTACTAACCTACTTACCAAGTACCCCGCCCCTTTAGGGCCATTGCCTGACGATCTTTGCGCTGCATTGTTGCTCCAACCCTCCAACCATGGGAAACAAGACAAACAAATCAACAATGAATGCCCACACAGCGCAACATATGGGCGTGTCATGGCGTGTCTGAAATAGACCCCCCCCAACCCAAAAACAAAAAAAGGTTGCGGCTCGGAAACCAACCAACCCCAAATCAAATGACAGCGGCCAAAAAGGGGCCCTTCAACCTCTAATGCAGCCGGTGCATCCTTTCACATGGCCTCTTCAGTGGCATTCTCAACCGATGGACCGATCTCAACCCTTGGTATCTTGGTATGGAAGCAAGAAAGTGTTGCTTTTTGCAAGCCTCAACCAAAAATGCCCTGAACACCTATAAACATGCCAACAACCGTGAAGAATGCTTGCTGCCCGACCCGCGGCAATCGCAGAAGCCTCCACTAGAGAACTGACAAAGTCTGTCTAACAAAATCTGCCTGGCCGCACTGGCTGCTGGGCCGCTTTTTTGTCCAATACCCGCCCACTCTTCTACTGTGGGCTGAGCTTTGCTTCGCCTGTGAGAACTGCCCTCCAAACCGACAAAAGGGCTATACGAGGCCCTTTTCTTGAAATACACGACTTTTTTTTCAGGAGGGGTGTTTCTTGGAGCCCTTTTCTTTCCAGCAGAGGCACGCGGGGGGCCAACCATGCTTCTTGCCTAAAAAACAACCTCCATGTTTGGCTTCCCTTTCCGGAACTGGCGTCTTGTCGCCCACCTTTGCCCGAGCCACTGCGCACTTGGGGAGGGATACTGGATTCAAACCCAAGTGTGGGACGTCCGTCGGAGATCGGATCATGGCACGGCGTGCGGCTCACGCTGACTCCAGGAAGCCTGCGACAGGGTCCGCGCGGTTCAAGCGCGGACGCGTTTGAAGGTCCGCGTTTGAAGCGAAGTGCATGACTCGCAAAATGCAGGCGTGTTGGCAAATCAGTAAGTTACTACCATCTCAGACCATCTCCTTCCAGACCTCCTGGTCCCTCCGAGAGGCCCCCTCTTTAAAGGCAAAATTGGATAGCCCCAGCTCTCTAGCGGCTCCCTTCCTTCCAACCACCAGCCAGGTTTGGAATTGAGTTGACTGGCTCGACAATAGCTCACATTTGTTGGCGGGTTGCAGCCAATTGTGGAAGCTTGCTATGCGAATTCGATTCGTACATATGTCCCCCTGGCCGAACATGGAACACACCAAGGGGGTCCCATTTCAAGCAAAATGGCCCAACCAGGAATTGCTTGAGGTTCCCTGCGCATGTCTTTCGCCCCCTATTCGCTCCACCTCCCGTTTCAAGAAAAATGGGTGTGGCTCAAAACTAGGGATCCAAAATGGAACCCTGGCAAACGGAAAGGTAGACTAAAACCTGCGAATCCCCAGCTGTTTAAGTTTTGAGCCACACCCAAAGGATCCAATGCGCAGGATGTCTTTTTCCTCCCTATTCGCTCCCCTTCACCACCTCCCGTTTCAAGAAAAACGAAACAATTCAGAACCCCCCGTCTCACCAAACCCACAATTGGCGCCCGGCTCCGCTGGTTGCCAACGCCAGCCTGGGCGCAGCAAGGCGTTGCCTGAGCCGTCGTCCAGCTTCACCTCAGACCAGGCTCCACCCAGCACCAAAAAAAAATGGCTGAGCCGCCTCCGCGTGCGCCACGATCAAAACCCGGTGCTGAATTGGTCGATCCCAAGAACCATGTAAAGAAAGAAAAAGGCGGCCACAGCTATTTATGCAAAGGGGATTGTCCCTTACTATCCTTCATCTACCCGGGTTTTGATTGTGGCTTATGTGCGGTTTTTGCCTCCTAAAAAGACTGAGAAAGCGATTCCCAGCAGTGGAAAAAAACATATATGCGCAGTACTGCTAGATGCCCGTTGAAATCAACTAAGGGCTAAAGCAAATGGGAGAAACCCAGAAATCGCACCACCGAAATCAGCAACTCAGCGAAATGATTCGATTCCCCAACGTAAACTCCAACAAACCTTTTGGTTTCGATCATGGTTTCTGAAGAGGTGCGAAGTGGAGTTCGCAACCATCCACGGGAACACAATGGACCAAAACGAATTGAACCCAAGACTTGGCCACACTGGGACTTGCAAAAAGACCTTTCTGGCTAAAGGCAAACTTGCTGGTGCTCAGCAGGGAATGAGAATTGGAATGAACCTGATCCCCTTCAAGGAAGCCATAGTAGAGGTCATTCCAGCTCATTCCCTGCTGAAAACCAGCCAAAAAAATAAGAAACCAACAAGGAGCCAAGGGTATGCATTTGGAAGGCCAAAAGCTTAGATGTCTGGTCAATTTGTTTTGCAAGTGTGAGGCAAGTGAGAAGGAACTGGGGCAACTGAGGCTTCAGTTCTTCAACCCCGGTGTGGTCTACTTAGCTACTTTTAGAGCTCCAAAAAAGTAATTGTCAAAAGTGCTCTTCCCCACCCTTGAAACAAAATCCCCAGGAACGAGTTTTACCCCACCCTCAAACCAAATTCCCAGAAAGAAAAGGGCGGCTCGCTCCTACTGGTTGATGCAATGACTGACGCTTGCTTTGAGCGCTTCGAGTCGAAGTCGCCTTCCACTTGCCGTCCGCAAACTGCTGGACCAGCATCCCCGTGACCCCGTTCTTGGCCCTCAGCCCTGTGAGCCGCACCTTGTCGCCCTGGCCGAAGGACGAAGGAGCGAGGCTCGCGCGCCGCGGAGCGCGCCGCTGCCCGTTGTGACGGGTGGCTTTAAATGATTGGAAACCAATGGGCAGGTCGACTCATTTTGAGGTAACCCCTGCTTGCATATGGGTTATTGCACCCAAACCAAAAAAACATATGGAGTTGCTGCATGAATTCCCCTTTTTTTAGTAGCTCTTTCGGGTCCAGTCCTGGCCCCTTTTGGCTGCTCTGCGTCTCCAACTGTTCGACTCCGCCCGGCCTTTTGCAGGGTTCCAGGGGTCTTCGCGGGTGCCACCAGGCTGGGCCAGCCCCCCAAGGGGGCGAAGTTGTTGGGCACGGGCCGGCGGTCCACGGACGCCAGGTCCTGCGCGAACTGAGTCGAGTCGATGTGGCGCTCTTCAGTCGGCCGTTTGTTTGAGACTTTTTCGAGGCCCAAGACCGCGAGGCGGTCGTTTGGGAGCTTCATTTTTGGGGGGTTTTGTTTGAGGCCAACAACCAAGTCGATATGGGTGGCGTTCCGCGTTCGGCGTTGTTCTTTTCTTTGAGGCCAATTCAAAGCCCTAAGGGGAATCAAAATCCGTTTTGAGGGCCCCCTAAAAAAACGACATACTCTCCTTTGGCACATACCCCATGTGTATGTTAATTCCCACTTCATTTGTGGGTGTCGACCACTTTCTGAGTGTGGTCATCCAAGTTGGCCGTGTCTCCCCCGCTTTGGGAGTTGTTCCCTTGGATTCTGGGCCCGCCGGGAGTGACAACAACAACTCAAAAATGGCTGGTGTCAATTTGGCCTCACTTGCACAAAGCTCTTTTAAGTCTTCCGCGGAGAAAGAAAAACATCACCAAGGCACCGACAGGCCAAGAAGGTGAAAAGGCGATGTTGGACATCATGAAGAAAAACAACATTTCCAGGGGTTCCGGGCTCAACCCAAGGGGCAACCACGCTTGTTTTCCATTTCGCTTAAGCCCTCTGGGGGAGGAAACAAATAGTCCAGTGGTCATAGAACCCCTTTAAACCCAACAGGGGAAAATAAACAAACAAACAGACAACTATCCTAAGGCAAAATGAAGTCCTATTTTACTTTCCTGACGTTGGCTAGATCCTCCAGATTAGAGAGGTTAGAATAAGGGTGCCAACTTTTTTCTGTAGTCTATTTTAGTAGGGGAACCCTCCCACCCAAAAAAGGGATGTGAAAGGGCACCTAAAAGGGCACCTAGCTGGGGGACCTAGTCGGTTGAGCGATCCAAGTGGTCGATCTGCCCTGTCCTGCAGCGCCTTTCGGTCCGCCTCTTCGCGGTCCGCAACGGCTGCCTCGGCGTGCTGGGCCGAGCTGTCGCCCAGGTCCAGCTGGATCTTCCCGGCGGTGGGCTGGAGGTAGTAGGCCCTGGACATGTTTCCGTCTCCGGAAAAGATGAGCGCCGAAAATGCGCCGACAAAAGCCAGGGATCGTCGCCAAGATGCGCCGAGAAAAGCCAGGGATCCATGAAAAGTCGCACAAGTCGGCGTCAAAACACGCCAACGAAAGGCACGGATCCAGGCAAAGCAGGGTGGTCAACAAGTCGAAAGACAGAGTAGGGGATTCGTGAGGGACTGGGTTGGGGATCAATGAGGGGCTGGGCATCAACATGCGACGGGAACAAAAAAACATTGGGGATCCATGGGGGGCCAAGTTTCCAGATGCACAACGAGGGTCCATGACACATCTCAACTTCGTTGAGAAGCCTCGCCAAAAGGTTTTAAACGCAACTCGCGCCAGGAGAAGGTCACACTTCTTGCTCCGCCCTTCCTGCAAGCCGCAAACCTCGAAATAACTCTAGGGGTTGATTCCCCATTCTTTTCAGCCATCGTTCTTTTCAAACACCGCTCGCCATTTCCCCAGGGTTTTGGGTGGTTTTCTGGAAAGACTCGGATCCCTGGATTCAGAATGAGGAAGTTACCCCTCGAAGTAACGGGAGCGCCCCTCTCTTCGACCCGGAGAAGCCCAGCAAGCCCGGCCTGGTCATCTCGTCGAAGTGGGAGGCTGAGAACCACTCCGGGGGGAACATCGTGCAGCACGCGATGTGCAGCACCTTCCCCGAGTCACCGATGGTCAGCAGGGCCTGCAACCAAGGGATCCAAGTCACAAATTCCTCCTCCTCCTCCTCCTCCTCCTCATCATCATCATCATCATCATCATCATCATCATCACTCGAGTCATTAACAGCAATCCTCCTCACAACTCCAGTTCATTCCAAGGGGGAGGCCCCAAAAAGCGTCCTCTAAAGAATGGAGGTCATTTACAGGCTCATCCAACTTCATTTCACTCCCCCTGCCAATGTCCGAAGAACCCACCAAAAATCCCCAACACCTCTCAAAATGCTGGGTGTTGTTCCCGGTCTTCTTCAAAACATGCGTCTTTTTCCTGCGGGGTTTGGGGCTGAAGGGCTCCGGCGTTTTTGGGCGCCGCGCTCTGCGCTCTGCTGCCTCCGGGGTGGCGTTGAGGATGTCCTCGGAGGCGAAGGCCTTCCAGCGCATGCCGATGCCGCCCACGGCGCCCCACATGAGCCCCACGCTGTCGACCTCTGGGCGCTGGAACTGCGCCATCTTGTCCTGCCCAAAAAGCCGCGAGCCGCCGCGAGCGGCGAGCTCCGCCGCAAACGGAAATTCTGGTGTGGGCAGGCCGGTCGAAGCAGGCAGGCAGGCCAAGCCATGCCAGGCAAAGCAAAGCAAAGCAAAGCAACTGAAAGCAAAGCAACCGAAAGCAAAGCTGAAAGCAAAGCAAATCAAATGAAAGCAAAGCAAGCAACGCAAGCAAGCAGGTCGCTTGCATCGGTGGCATTGATTGCGTTGGGAAAGGTTCGATGGGTTGGCTGAATTGATTGAATGGGATGATGGCCGCGTCTTCTTTCTCTGCTGTTGAAACGTCAAACTGACCGACCGGACTGACCGACCGACCCGCAAACAAGCAAAAAGCAAGCAAGCCAGCAAGCAACCAAGCAAGCAGGCAAGCAAACGAAACAACACAACACAACACAACACAACACAAACAAACAAACAAACAAACAAACAAACAAACAAACAAACAAACAAACAACAAAAAAACAAAAGCAAGCACGCACGCACGCAAGCAAGCAAGCAAGCAAGCACGCACGCAAGAAAGCAAGCACGCAGGCACGCTTGCAAACAAACCAGAAAAGCAAAACACGATAAAACATACGAGCAACCCCAGAAAGCAAGAACAATCACATCCAAAGTACAAACGAAGTTCTCCCACGGACCAAAAAAACGACACGAATATTGACGTGCTTTTTCTGTTCGCTGGCTATGAGGTGTCCATATAGGCGTTGGCCGCGATGTAGTTGGCCTGGCCCATGTTGGCCGTCATGGTGCTCATCGCCGTGAAGTGCACCGTCTTCGTGAGCTTCCTCGGCGTCTCGATCACTGCGACCCCCATAGGTGGCCTTTTGGAAAAATAGATGGCCCCCGAAAAACTAACTAACCCAACTAAACCAACCTAAACTAACCTAAACTAACCTAAACTAAGCAAACTAAACTAACCTAAACTAAGCAAACCAAACTAAACTAACCTAAAACTAATCTATTTTTAACCAAACTAACCTAAAAAGGACGCCTATGGCTACCCCCCTGCGTGGTCCTCTTGTGGGAGCCATTCCCAATCATGGGATTGATGTCCAACCATGGGCAAAACTCGCCAAACAACTAAAGCAAGCCAAAAAGAAACCATGAGAAGACGGCACCCAAACAAACATTCCTTGCACCCCCAAAAAAAAAGAAGAAAGAGGATACCACCACAAAAAAGGAGAGTCGACCCCCTAACAAAAGAAGTCATTCACATGAAACTTGGCTTCAGTGCGAGCACATGGAAGGGACACTACAAGCTGTACAGGTCGACCCCCCAAACAAATCCTTTGGCCCCACCCCCCCCCAAAAAAAAAAGAACCCCACCCAAGAAAAAGCGAATCGACCTACAAATCCTTCGGCCAGGCTCATGCAGGTGTAAACACCCCAAAAAAAAGGATACCCCCCCCCCCCCAAAAAAAAAAAAAAAAAAAAAAAATCCTTCGGCCAGGCTCATGCAGGTGTAAACACCCCAAAAAAAGAGGATTACCCTCCCCCCCCCAAAAAAAAAAAAAAAAAGAAAAACGACCCCAACAAAAAATCCATCGGCCAGCTCATGCAGGTGTAAACACCCCAAAAAAAGAGGATTACCCTCCCCCCCAAAAAAAAGAAAAGAAAAACGACCCCAACAAAAAATCCTTCGGCCAGGCTCATGCAGGTGTAAACACCCCAAAAAAAGAGGATTACCCTCCCCCCCAAAAAAAAGAAAAGAAAAACGACCCCAACAAAAAATCCTTCGGCCAGGCTCATGCAGGTGTAAACACCCCAAAAAAAGAGGATTACCCTCCCCCCCAAAAAAAAGAAGAAAAAAAACGACCCCAACAAAAAATCCTGCGGCCAGGCTCATGCAGGTGTACTGGGCCTTGCCCGTAATGGAGGGCGCCTGCAAGTGCCGCGGGCCCCCCGAGGCGATGGCCAGCGTGGTGACGGACGAGGCCTCCTCCTGGGCCGCCTTCAGCTGGCTTTCCAGCTCCTGGGGCTTTCCGCGTCCCAGCGGCCGTCTTGTTGCTTGGTTTCTTGCTTGGGCGTTTGGGCGTTTGGGCGTTCGGGTCCTGGGTTTTTTCCTGGAGTCTTAGACGGCCTTCTTTTTGGTTGGTTTTTGGTTGCCGGGGGGTCCTAAAATCTTCGGTTTTTCCTACGGCCTAGGCGTTCCAACCGCTTTTGAAGGGTCTTTTGTTTGTTGGTGTTTGGGCCCGGGGGGTCCCAATGTTGACAAGGGGGTGTTCCCCTCCAAAAGTGATGATCCCACAACTTTTGTTTGTTGGTTTTTGGTTGCCGGGGTCCCGGGGGCTTTTCCTGGGGTCTTAGGCTTTCAAAACGCTTTTTCTTGAAGGGTCTTAGGGCTAGGGCCCTTGTTTTTGTGTCCAGACTAGAGAGGTTAGAAAAGTTGGTACCAATTTCTTTCTGTAGTCTATTTTAGTAGGGGAACCCTCCCAACCCAAAAAGGGGGGGAGAAAGGGCACTACTGGGGACCTAGTAGGGTGTTTCTTGGGGTCTTAGGCTTTCAAAACAGTTTTTCCTTGAAGGGTCTTGGGTCTTCCTAAGATCCCACGGCCCTTTTTCGTGGGTTTTTGGGCTAGGGCCTGGCTTCCTGTCTAAGGCTTGGGCTTTCCAATTGTTTATTCTGGAAGGGCCTTAGGTGCTCCTAGGCTCCCGCGGCCCTTTTCTGTTTTTTTTTGGGGGGGGGTTTTGGTTGCCGGGGGCTGACCTGATGCTGACGCCGTACTCAACCCCGGCTTAACAGGGGGGATCCAGGGATCTTTGGGCCGGGGTTCCCTAAAGTGTTCAGCTTCTTGTTCCTAGGGTCCCTTTGCTGGAAGGGCCTCGGGATTTCCAGCTGTGGACATGTCTCAGATTTGCCGGGGGCAGGCGGTGGGGAATTCGTATTCAAACCACCGGCCGGTGGTTCTGTTCAAGGGGAAACCAAAAGGATAGTGTTGCAACGATATTTTGGCATATGGTCTCAGAGGGTCCTGGGTGGGTTTTGTTCAACGTGACCCGCAGCTTTGGTGTGTCTCGGGATGTCATATCCTCCGCCCTTGGTATGGATACAACATCAAGTTGCCACAGCGCAACCATGGGTCTGTCTTCTTAAAATTGGAGAACCCCAAAAAGGACTAAACGCTTAACTTTTAGTGGGTTAAATGGCTCAAAAAAAGAGGAAAGGCTGGGAACCACGGAGCCTCTCTCTTTTCTTTTTGTTTGGGGGGGGGAGGGAAACAGAGGGAGGGAGATGCGAATCCAGCTCCTCCTTGAGCTGCACCTCCCCGTGGATGGACTCCTGGATCATGCCCAGCTCCGCGCGCCGGGAGGCGTGGGCGAACTGCGCCGCCTGCGGGTCCCGACTCACCGCGGCGCGCACCACCTCGGGATCTGCGCGGAAGATGGGCAGCATGAACTTCAGCGCTTTCCCGTTCCGCTTCGCCACTGCCACCGCAAAGTCCTCAGGTCAAAATGGGTGGTTCAACTGAAACGGGAAATGGGACCACTTCCCTTTCTTGGCTGGTTTTAAATGGAAACAAGGACAAACCAACCTGCCTCAGAAAGAGCCAATTTTAGGAAACCGCAACTAGAGGGACCCCCAAAACGGCCTTGGTTTCCATTTCCCAGTGCTTCCAGTTGCCACCATAGTGGTACCTGGAAGCACTGGGTTTGGTTTCCCTTTCAGCCAACCCCGCAAAACTCGGTTGCTTTCCGCTCCCCTGCTAAAAGTTAACTTTTGGTGGTTTACTGGAAAACCCATTAGTTGACAAAAAAAAAAAAAACGAAGTCCTAACATCCCTTGACAAAATGCACCACCATGGGGTCCTTGTCGTTCAACAAGTCCTCCGCCGCGTAGTGGTACGCCTCGGCGTCGTGCACGGCCATCTCCAGCACGAAGCTCCGGTCCTCGCGCAGGGCCAGGCTGGCCCCCTGCATCGCCGCGCCCTTGCCGGCCTTGGCCGCCTCCAGCAAAAAGTTCTTGTCACTGCCTTACACTCAGATTCCCAGTGGAATCCATGGGGAAAAAAGGGCCATCCTTTTATGTTGGTTCAATTTAAGGGGAACCCCTGCCCACAAAAAGGGGGAAAAAACCTTACAGGAAACTAGGTCCTCCAGTAGAGAGGTTAGAATAAGGGTACTAACTTTTTTCTATTTTGTCAATTTTAGTAAGGACACCCTCCCCCAAAAAAGGGTGAGAAAGGGCACTACTGAGGGGACCTACCAGTAGGAGAAATCTGGATTTTGTTCCAGGGGGAATCCAAAGCGGCACCCTGCTATATGGAGCCAAAGACTAAATCCCAAGCGGGAATCCAAGAACCAGCAAAAGGCCAAGAATTGCCTTACTACTTACTCATGTTCGACCAACACCTGACTTTTTCTCCAGGGACCAAACAAACACAGGACCCTTGTTGTGGGTCGTTTTGTCGTGAAGAATCTGGAAAATTGTTCCAGGGGAATCCTCTTGAACCAGCAAAAAAAAGGAATGCCTTGCAAAAGGAATTGCCTTGCTACGTGCTCATTCGCGACAAGGGAAGAAATCCAAGAAGCAGAAAAATTACAGGACACCTTTGTTGTTGGCCGTAAAACCACAAAAACGGGACAACCGGCGGAAGCCCAAGCAATTGTTGTTGGTCATCGGACACTCACTTCCTGAGTGGATTGGCCAAAACAAGTCGCCGCAACTTTGAGTCTACCACTAAAACGGCAACCAAACCCCAAAAACGCTAAAACGGCAACCAAACCCCAAAAACCCTAAAACGGCAACCAAACCCCAAAAAGTGGATAACGTCCATGAACTCCAGAAGTGAGGACATGGAAACCAAAAGGAAAAGTTCAAAGGAGGCGGAGCTGCGGAGGGAGTCAGGTGCACCGGACAGCGCCCCGCCATGCACGCCCACCGCCTGCCAGGATCATCAAACCCCAGCGCATTTGCAGGCCCTCACCACATGGGTTTGTCTGGTTTGACCTTCCTTTCCGGGGGAAACCAAACGAAAACCACCCATTTTCTGGGTGCCCCCAAACCGAGACAAAGCAATCTAAAGACAACCCAGGTTCGAGCTGTAGCAGCTGACCAAACCATGGTCGAAGAAGTGGTCAAGGGTTGCTTTTGGTTCCCTTTTGACCAGGGATGCACTTTCTACCAGCTTGTGCCACTTGTGCCAATCGGAGCAAATGGGAGCAACTGCTCGCCGAGCTGCCTCGTGGTGTGGTGTTTTTCAGGGTAGCCATGGGCACGTATCAGAGTGGGTTTTCCCGGGAGGATTAAGTGACAACAGGGCCATCCTCTAGCTGCACTGGAGGGGCTCCGTCTCACTTTGGATCTCTCTCTCTGGTCGGGTTTTCTTTTCCAGGTAACCGAAAAAAGGAGAACCCCCCATACAAATCTTGTGGGACCCCCCCCCCCCCATTCTGAGACAAACCACCCTGAGAGGAACCCGAGATAAAACGGCGCCTGGTTGGTTCCTTCTTTGGCGGGAAAGTGACCCCCCCTATGAAGCGCAAGGTTTATTTGGCCTGTAGTTTTTTGGTTGCACGCTTCTGGACCTTGGACGCGAATTCCTCAAGTATGGCCAAATGCTTGTGTTTCAAAATGGGGGGGGACCTCTAGCTCATACTTAGATATTCCACCAACTTAGTAAGTGGGTTGCAACCATGGTGACAAGCCAACTAACCCCAGTTGCCCCAGTCATAACCTACCTAAGAGGTTGGTTGAACATCTAAGCAAGCCCCCTTTTGCTTCGCCTGCAGCAGAAAGCTCTTGTCACTGCGCAGCTCGGGGGACGCATCCGCGAAGGCGGTGCCGAAGTATCTGGTGGCCTAAAGCGCCATTTGCAGCACGTGACAACTGGTGATACCTGTGGATGCGCACCACGAAATGAAGCCAGAATTGAAAAGCCAACCAACAATGGCATTTTCACAGAGTGTGAGCCTTTCTTGTTCTTCTATTATTTGTTTTTTTTTTGGGGGGGGGGCTTCCTTTATTTATTTTTTGGGGGAGGAGGGGGGGGCTTCCTGGTTCTTCCTTATTTTTGTGTTTGGTCGGGGCCTTCCCCGGGAAAAGGCGAAACGCGCACCGAGCGGCTTCCAGCACCAGCGACTGATCCGCGCGCAGCTCGGGGGCCGCGTGCTTCAAGGCGGCGCCCTGGGAGGTGAGGATGGCGCTCTTCACCAGGTCCCTGTCGCCTGCGCTTGGGCTGGGCTGCTCTTGGTTGACGTTGGAAGGGGAGCAAACATTTAAGTCTTAGCAGGTAAGTGGAGATTTCCCACTGAACCACAATAAGCAAAAATGTAAAATGTTTCCCAACGACAACCATGTGCTGAGGGGGAGGGGGGGGAACACTTGGCCATTTTGCAGCCAACCCAGAAGGGTTTTTTGAACCCTAAAATCCCCAAAAAGAAGGAGGCTCGCTCGCCAAGATTCCTCCGTACCTGCCCCAGACCAACAGCCGGAAGCTCCCAGGACCCCTTTGGAAGACTTGGTTCCGTTTACAGAGGCCTTCTGGGAACTTCCATGTTAGTCTGCTTACCCCTTAAAACTCCAAGCCCTGGGGAAGTTAATCTTTTACAGACATATGTTACCCCCAAAAAGTTGAAAAGTTGTGTTTTTAAGAGGTAAGTCTGAGGGGGCGTATACTTGATTTGCAACCGGAATATTGGTGATTCCCAAGTAGGCAAATGCCAAATAGGCCAGAACCGGGTGCCCCATATTTGCAACCCCGTTTTGAAGGTATAAAGCCGCCCTAAAGGGTGAGGCAAGCAAGCAAGCATTGTGGATGGGTCAAATCCTGCACCAGTGGGGATGATTCCCAAATGGAAACTGGGACGTCAAACTTATCAACTGGTTTTTTGGAATCTTGGCCATCCACACCTTGTCAGTCAGGTGCTTGTCTCAAATCTGCTGGTAGTCCTCTGATGGCTGTGTGACTTTTGAGGGTACCACGTTTGGGGGACGCTACATTTTTGGGTGGAGCGGACATTTGACTCGACACATATGCGGATTGAAAGATTGCTAACATGAAGCTCACCATGTGGTGCATACCTGTATCTCACAAGTGCCTTTGTTCCGGCCCAAACTAACCATTTTGCAGCCAAGAACACAAAAGAAGCAGGTACCCTAAAAGAAGGAGGTTGCAACATAGACCCTACCAGTTGCGAAATCCTTCGCACCACATAATGAAGTTCCAGCGTTTCTTAGGTGGTGCAAAAAGGCTTTCGCGACCATCCACAGGAGCCCCCCCCCCCCCCCCCCGGTGGCACATGCTTGGCGTGCTGGGCCCTTGGGGGCGGGTTGGGCAAATTGCACCCCCAGTGACCTGCAAGGCACGCACAGGAAAGGACAACCTGGGCATCTCTTTGCTGGTTGCCTGATTTTTCGCCTCGCACACTCCGAAGGGAAGGCACCCCTTTCCCTTGCTGAAACATACCTAGACCACCATCTAAACCATCTCTTTTTCGGCTCCCCCCGAAATAAACAAAAACGGTTGCCTCGGCCAAAAACATATTTTGCTCCAAACCGGGGCGCTGCTCACTCGAAGCAAGCCATCCGTCGCCCCGCTCGCCTCGGATCTGCTCGGGGGCGTTGGCCAGGAGCCGCCAGTCGTCCAGCACCGCGGCCCGCCACATGGCGTGGCGCCAGCTCTTCAGCGTCAGCTCCGTGGACTCGCTGGGCAGCAGCTTCTGCTCTGCCGCCTCGAAAGAAAACCGGACGCGCGAAGGGCGAGACAGAAAAAACACATCGGCCTCCCTGGCGCGTTTTTTTTTTTTTGGCCTGTGGGTTGGAGTGCCGAGGCTTCGCGCATTCCACCCTCTCGAACCTGAGGGTTCTCATGACCCCTCCGCCCAAACCGCTGGCCTTCACGCTGCTGCGGATCACAGAGCTGGCCGCCAGTTGGGTGAGCTCCGCCTGTCAGGGAGTGGCCTGGGCTTCTCAGCCCTAGCTGGAAATCCAAAATTGGTGGTCAAGCTTTGTGAATGGGGCTCCCAAAATGGGCAAGGCACAATGTCATTAAGATCAGTAATTAGGCGTTGGGCAATTGAGAAGTTGTCTTTGGCGAACATGGTCTTCCGAGAAGTATGAGGTCCGGCTGGGGGATGAGAACCACCTGTTGGTTACCCCAGTTGGCCTGCTTAAACGCAGGCATTCCCCTCAGCGTGCTCACAACCATCTCGCTTTGGTCCCCTTCCTCCAGCTCTCACAAAAGCTTTTCAGTTTTGTGGCATGTGGAAGTATGTTCGTCCACGTCGGAGACCCCAAACCGGAAATGAGACCTCCGGTAGAGAGCCAGTCGCATGTAAATCCCTTGTTTTGCCCCCACAAATAAGAACCAGGATTCATAAACCCCCAGTTGAGCAATAGGTGGGATGTCCTGATCTGGATCACTGGCCGCCTAGTTTCGTCGCTTCCCAGCGCCAGGTTCCCATGACCTCCTTTGGGCGCCTTGACAGAGGCTTGGCCACTTCCAACACATGAAACGCGGCCAATGTTCGCTACCCTGAAAATCGGAGCGAGCCAGCGGTCTGCATGAGTTCAGTGCCCGGTTTCCCTAGCAGGTGCCAACCATGAAGACTCAGGGTCTAACTTTGGCAGGCAAACCTCCATCCCCCCCCCCTTCCCAAAAAAAACAACAGCAACCGAGACTTTCCACAAAATGGACACCCGCAGCCATACGCTTGCAACCCAGCAACGGACCAGTCCGGACCCCTTTTCGTTTCCCACACCCACCGTCTCCTACCCGCGCCCCACCCCCAACCCCACCATCATCCACCGACCCAATCCGCTCGCCTCGGGCGTCCCCACGGCGCTGCAATACTCCCGGCGCAGCTCCGCCTCCTCCGCCGCGGGGAAGTCGTTGGCCATGGCGAACTCCTCGCGGAGCGAACGAGGAGCGAACGGGGCGGTTCGGACCGAACGAGGCGCCGAGGGACCGAGCCAAGCGAACCGTTTGGACGGGCGAATGCTGAGCCCTGAGTTTTACACACACACACACACACACACACACACACACACACACACACACACACACACACACACACACACACACACACACACACACACACACACGCGCCTTACTCAGGGAAGTCCCGTTGTTTTTTGTTGTTGTTTTTTGCATAGGGTCTAAACAAGAAGGGGTTAGAGTCCTCAGTTTCAAATCCGAACGCAAATTATAGGTACTTCCATGCTTGTTGCCAGGCCTTGGCAGGGTAGCATTTGCAGCCCCTGCCTAAACATCAACAGGACCAAAAAAATAAAACACTAAAAACCTGCCAACAACAGTGAAGTGTTGGGAAGTAGGGACCTGTACAGCTCGAAGGCCGAACAAATGTGGGTCCATATGTGAGCCCGTGCCCGTTTTGGACCCTTTGGGTGTTGATTTCCCAAGATTAAGCCATAACTAGTGGTACTACTTGTTGCTGTTGACCCCAATGGAAAATCCAAACTGTTTCAACAAAAACGTTGTCCAGTCCAAAGATTTGTTCCCGAATAGACAGGTAAATCCGGCCATGAATGGTTACCTACAAAATTCGGTGTAAATGGATCCACTGTGAGGGTTACCCCACCAACAGATCCGGTACCAAATAGCCATAAAGAAAAGGTAAATCCAGCCGTGCTCCTTTTGGCAAGCCCTTGGTTCCCTTCCAGAATCTGGTGTAAATGTTTCCACTCGGAGGGGCTAGTGAGCGCCGTACCCCCAGCGCCTTGCGCAGCTTGTCGGCGCTCTTGTTGTTCGTGAGCACCGCCGCCTTGGCGCTCAGCAGGAACCACAGCCCCGGAATGTCCAGGTAGGTGGCAGCCACCGTGAGGTCGAACAACATCTCCTTGTGGGTGGCTCGGGCTCGTTGTGCCCTTCTTGCGGGGGACGGTGTTTCAAGGAAAACCAAGAGGAAAAAACACCGGCTTGCTACTGTGTTTGGGGTTCCCCTTTCTTAAGACACATGCGTCAGAGAGGAAAAACCACATTTTGGCTACTTTGTTAGGGGTTCCTATTTTCAGACACATGCGTCACAGACAAACCCCCACAAATCAGCACATGTTTGCTACCTTGTTTGGGGTTCCCCCATTTTGAGACACATGCGTCACAGACAAAGCCCCACAACTGTTTTGTAGCACGCCCCAAAAGATGACGTGACGGTGTCTCTCCCTTGACCACCCCAGCTAACTCTAGGTGGAACTTACTTATCTGAAGCGGACATTTCCTCGAGCACCCGCAACTCTCCTTGTCATCCCCACTTGATTTGTGTGGTTGGGGTTGGTTGGTTGGTTGGTTGGTTGGCTGGCCGGCCGGCTGGCTGGCTGGCTGCTGGGTTGGCTTTTTGGTTGGGTGGGGAGTTAGTTGAAGTTGCCGCTTCCACGAGCCTTTCCCCGCCCAAGTCTCTTTGTCCACGTTGGCGTAGCTGGCGTCCCACCGGCTGGCGCCGGAGTCCACCAAGTTCTCGCTCACGAGCGGCGTCCTGCCGAACGTCGGGTCAGTAAGACAGAGCACAAACGAAAAAAACACGTGCGTTGTTTTGCTTGGGGGGCAGGGCTGAGACCCTCCCCCAAACACACCGATCCGTGGGGTGCATTTGGAGGGTCACATACAACCCACTTTCTGATTTCTGAACTGGGGATATGAGCCACTTCGCTTCTTCCCTAAAGACCACCTTGGGGCGGTCGCCCCCTCCCTTTCTTCCCTAAAAACCATGGAGGCGAAAAAGGGGGGAGGTCGTGCGGCTCCTGATCTCACTGGGGGAGTGCTCTTTGTGATGCTTCAGGTACTCGGCCAGCTTCGCCATCACCGTCTTCTTGATCCTAGCGGGGAGGAGAGGAGAAAAAAAAAAACCTTTCGAGATGCAGAACTCTGCCAAACAATGCCCATAAAACCAACTAAAAGCTGTCTAAACATTGGCTTACCACGAAACTGGCCGCCCCAAAAGCTGGCGCAAGGCCAGAAACTGGGGGAGTGAGCTGACAAGAAGCAGGGCCTTGGGTATGGGATCCGGGTGGTTCCCCAAGTAAAGGGCACACACGCATCATAGTCATAGCGAGCTTGTTCCCAAGAAGGCGAGCTCACTATGAAAAGGGCAGATCGATGGTAGAGATCCTGTAGGGGGGGGGTCCCAAACACGCTACCTGCTCACTTCCTGAGTGGAGCTGGCCGGACAGAAATGGTGACCACTGAGTTTATCAACCAAATGGTCTCCTCAAGTACGAAAGATGCCAGAAACAGGGGTCGCTGGATTTCCCCGAATCAACAGTTGCTGAATTTGCTGGTGGCTTCCATTGAAACGATCGCCTTTTGTGGAGAATCCAAAAAAAGGAGATGGGGAGACCCTGCTTAAGATGGTGTCCACTACTACCCCCAAGGCAAAATGCTGTTTATGTAACCTTGCTACTTTTGGAGCCCTGCCACCCAAAAAAAAAGAGGAAGACATCCCATGCTTCGCCTGCCAACAGTTGACCCCCCTTTTTGGACCGAACCGTCGAATCTGCTTGCCAGGCAGCGGGTACTCCAGCACCTGCCGGGCCAAAAACGTCGGGATTTTCGGAGGCTTCGTTGGATCTTCGATTCGCCAAGTTCGCAAGTGGAAAAGGCCACCTGGGTGGCCAACAACTACTTCCCACGAAGAGCGCGGTAAACTCCACTTGGGGCTTAGTGGCTGGCCACCTGGGGCGAACCCACCGGAACCGAAGGGTTGCCAACTGACGAACTTGGCGAAACGAAGATGGGCTCAGCTCAAAGACCTCCAGAAGCGGATCGTTTTCCGTCGGCGGATTTGCTGCGGAGATCTGAGGCACCTGGAAAGTGAGCTGTCCTGGGCTTCTTTACTTGGTTGACGTTGGAAGGGGAGCAAAAAATTAGACTTGAGCAGTTAAGTGGGGATTTCCCTCTGAACAACAACAAGCAAAAATGTAACATGTTTCCCAACAACAAATGTTTTAGAGTCATATGGCATTCTGGGCATGGGTCAAAATTAAACCAAAATATGGACCGCAGGAAAATTAGTCCACGTGTCCAGAAACCAGGGCAACCCATTTTGGGTACCTATATTTAAAGCGCTTGAGACTTGCGTCCCCACAGTCCAAGGCTGACAGTAGATCGGCCTGCAAAAGACACACGAAAGAATAGTTGTACTTGGACCAGCCCGCTTGGTTCTGGGTGTTGTTGTCCGCAACTGGTCCACTCCTCCCATTTTGGTTTAGACACCCCCTTTGACAGAAGCTGTGCCATTGACTTTCACCCTAGTGCAAGTGGCCCCCCAATCAATGACAAGTCAATCACACTTCGAGGGGGCTCCTGTCGATAAGGAAAGCGGCCATAGTAGGCGAAGCCAAAACAAAAACAGGTTGGGTGGTTTCCCTTTTACCCTCCCTGTCCATAGTAGGCGAAGCCCCCCCACCAAAAAAAATACAGGTTGGGTGGTTTCCCTTTTACCCTCCCTGTCCATAGTAGGCGAAGCCCCCCCACCAAAAAAAATACAGGTTGGGTGGTTTGCCTATTACCCTCCCTGTCCATAGTAGGCGAAGCCCCCCCACCAAAAGAAATACAGGTTGGGTGGTTTCCCTTTTACCCTCCCTGTCC